TGAGCCAGCAGAAGAAACTGAGGAGTAAGCAGATGGGGAAGAAGAGAACCAGGAAAGTATAGTGTCATGGAAATTCAGAGGAGGCAATAAGGATTCAAATGAAAAGGTGGTCAGCAACATCAAGTTTAGTACAGAGGCCAAGAAGGATGAGGACTGAGAAAAGACCATCAGATTTGGCAATTTGGTAATATTGAAGAGAGCAATTGCAGTTAAGTCAGAGGTCCAGGATAAGGGAGGAGGTTAAGAACCTGGGAGTCTAAAAGAATTGTTTTACAGTGGATAGAATTAGGGAAATTCAGAAGATAGATGGCTTTGGGTGAAAATATAATGTAATCCCTACCCATCATGCCTCTTTATCCTGTTCTCCTTTCTCTTTCCCACTGAAAAATGAGGTAGATGTGAATGTATTGGGGAATAATACTCCTTCTTTGTTACCCTAATGAGCAGAGAACATGCAGCGGTGATCTGGGGGACAGGACATGAAGTTGTGGGCTGGGTATGGGAATTTGCTTGCATAAATGCTGAGTTTCTGAATAAGCTTCCATTATAATTGCCTTGAGGGGCTGAAGCTTGTTGAACCATTTAGGACCAGCTGTGGGAGGGTAGAGTGAGAGTATATTGATGAAGTTGAGTTGTATTTGAGAAAAGCTCCCAGTTGATTATGGCAGAATCTAGGGTATGTTGTGACCCATCTTCACACTCTCTGATTGGTTAATCACCCACCCCTTGGACTCAAGCCATCCATGGTCTCCATGTTGAAGATCATTGATCTAGATACTCAATTCAATTCAATAAACATTGTAATTTTATCAGCATCCTTCCTAAAATATGGCATCTAGAACCAAGCACAAAACTCTAGATGTAATCTAATCAGGGTGGGCAGGGGTATGCTGGTAATGTTTAACAGCCAGCCCTCCAAAAAGGATGCCATACTTTTAAAAGTTTAATCTTCATTAATATTTTCTCCATTACTTTCTTAAGTCTAAACAATCAATAAAACAATAAATTTGGTTTGCAACACTGCTGGTTTTTGAGGTGTAAATGTTCACACTAAAAATTTAACAATAAACTCTCTTGAGTAGCTATGGTTGGTTTCAGCACACCCCTTGATGATTAGTCTATTACTGCCCCAGTCTCTCTCTCTCTCTCTCTCTCTCTCCCTCTCCCTCTCTCTCTCTCCCCCTCTACACTCTTCCTTCCTCTCTTCTCTCTTTCTCTTCCTCTCCCCCCTTCCCTAGCCATAGGCACACATAGATACATACATGTGGATTTCTAATTTCATGGGTAAAAGGAACTCTTGTCAAGGAAATACTTTCAACCAATTAAAGCCATACTCAACTAGGTAGTTGGGTGGCACAGTGGATAGAGCATTGGGTTTAGAGTCAGGAAGACCGGAGTTCAAATCTGGTCTAAGACATTTACTAGCTGTGTGACCCTAGGAAGTCACTTAACTTCTGTTAGTTTCAGTTTATTCAACTATAAAATGGGAATAATGACAGTACCTACCTCCCAGGGATTGTTGTGAGGATTGAATGAGGTAAAATTTGTTAAGTGTTTAACCCAGGACCTGAAAGGTGCTTGATAAATGTAGATTCCTTCAATTTAGAGTTTTAGTTGCCTGGGGCACTGAGAGTAAGTGATTTGTTTGGTGTTGTACACTCAGTATATATCTGAGACAGGGCTTGAAGCTGGGTCTTACTGACTCTATCTACCATGCTGATACTGCCTGTAATGTCTCTTGATACAGGCTAAAATTCCATTAAATTCTCAGTCCTGTGTTCCCTCCTAACCAGAATCCTTCCTCTCTATTTACTCCTTACATACTTTACTAGATAAATGTCATGAGTTGTTGGTTTGAACTGGATAGTAGCTAGGGGCCTTTTAGCTTTAGAAGCCACTTCTCGTAACTCTATTCTTTCCTAGTGGTGTTGAATATCTTAATGTCCATGCAAATGAAAACTCCCCTTAGTGATTTCACACACATATATACCTGTCTATGTGAACAGCTTTTCATTGAGAAATTGATTGAAAACATGGTATTACAGATTCTGTGCTCCTCTGTCCTGGCCCCTCTCCTAGAAGCTGAGAGAATTGATTTCAGACATTCTATTTCTTATTCATTGTCTTTTTTTTCCAGATGTATGTGTTTGGGGGAGGTATTAGGGTGTCTAGGGAAGGTTGAAACCTGTTTCCAGTTGCTTAGCAATCCTTATGGAGTGTGGGCTCTGGAAATCCCTATTTGGGAGTCTCATAGGTATAGAAATAGTAGGAATAATTTACATTTATATAATTTTAAAATTTGCAAGCCTTTTTTTGGGGGATGCATTATTCCATTTGAGCCTCATAATAGACTTTTGAGGTAGATATCACACTTGACAGTGAGGAAGGTGAGACTCAAAGACCTTAAGTGACTGACCTTAAGTGACTTGCCCAAGGTCATGCAACTAGAAAGGGTGAGAGGCAGAATTCAAACCCAGGTTTCTTAGAATGCCACTCTCTCCAGTTTACTATGGAGCTTCTTTCAGAAAATAAAACAAAACAACAGCAGCAATAAGAACATTCCAGGGTGTGGCCCCAGCTCAGGGTTAGGAAATAATCTCCTCAATGGTCCTTGCAGGGTATTTTCCTGGCCAGTGACTGAAATAGTTGGGTAGATAAAGAAAGAGCCCCCAGGACAAAGGACATATGTCAAACGTGAGGAAGGTAGGGGGAGCTAGGTGGTGCAGTAGATAGAGCACTGGCCCTGGAGTCAGGAGGACCTGAGTTCAAATTTGGCCTCAAACCAGACACTTGACAGCTGTATGACCTTGGGCAAGTCCAATTGCCTAAAAAAAAAAATTAAAAAAAAAGTGAGGAAGGATGAGAATAATAATGATGAAATCAACAATGCATTTATATAGCACTTTAAGTTTTCAGTTAATAAAACAACAAGCATGTATGCTTGTGCTTACTGTATGTGCTAACCTTATTGTGTATTAAGTATTGAAGATACAAAGAAAGCCAAAACCATAGTCACTACTCTCAAGGAGCTCACATTCTAATGGGAGAGGCAACATGCAAATAAACTAGGTAAAGTGAATCTCTCTCTCTCTCTCCACACACCCATATTTATACATATACACACACATACATATATATGAATACACAAATATATAGTATGTATATGTATAGTATGTATATGTATATGTAAATGTACACTATACATTTATTATCTAGACAGCAGAAAGAGTGTGAACTCAGGGTCATTGAGAGTCAGCTCCTGTTTTTTGTTATAGTTCTTAACTTTTTGGATTCTAAGTGTACTAGACCATGGAGATAGTTGAAATTGTTTTATCTTTTGTTCATAGTTTCTGTTTTGGAGATGTTTGAAAGGTTGCGAGTACTGGAGGAAATGTCTAGTCTGCCATCTTGTTGCTCACACTATGGAGAGATGAGTGAATGAGACAGAGGAGACAGAAGGAGAGAAGAGGGAGGGAGGAAGAGAAAGGGAGGGGGAGAGAGAGAGAGAGAGAGAGAGAGAGAGAGAGAGAGAGAGAGAGAG